AGAACCGCACAAGCTGCCTTCTTCCTAGTCTGGTGTACAGCAAAACAACTGTGGAGTGTGTAGTAAAACAGTATTCATGCCATACTAAAGATGTTATATGTCCATTTACTAGATAAACTCATGTTAAAGCTACAAGATACAAGAATAAATGGTCATCCCATCAAAATAACTTGGACTGATGGTGGGAACTGATGAAAAGCAGTGTAGACTGAACAGTCCTTGGGATGAAATYATTTTTGTTCCAAGTGAGAGAAGAATTCTTTGAGACGGTGCAACAAATCCAGTTCTTGCTTACTCAAAGAGATTGTAAAGATTATGACATATCCAATGCATAAATTCTCACACTATGTAAATGAAAAATAAAAAATACAGTACGTACTGCACAGCTCTGATTTGCATAGCAAATATATATATTGAAAATAATGGCATTCAAATGACATCCACAGAACTGCACACGAGAAATCCAGACTAAATACATTGAGACCACTATCTGATCAAGCCAAGTTTGTACTGAAGAATGTCACACAGCTTCACAGTTCCACAGATCAGTTAAGTACAGTGTTAGTGTGAATCTTCAAATGTAAAACGGTTATAGAACCAAGACATGAAAACAGACCTTGAGCAAGATAATTGGCTGAGTGTTCAGCCAGATTGGGGTAAGTGTGTAAGAGAAGAAAGCGAAATGTTCACTCAGCACAAGATTGGCTGCACATATACACACCCCAATATGACTAGATGAAATCAAACTGATAGAGAAAACTGYAAAGGACAAAAAGCTTTCTAGCACCGCATGTAAATTAAGTGCAAAAAACTGGCAAATGGCTAAATTGCCAGAAAGACAGAATGCATAAATGGAGACAGCAGTTTGTGGCTATTTGATCATCTGAAATAAGAGAAGACAACTTGCTCTTTTCTGGTAAAAAAAGGCTGATATACTCACTTTTCCACCTACATGGTTGCATTTTAAACATTAGAAAAGTATTGAAAAAAAAAGCAGATGGTGGTCCCACAGGAAGGCAAACAGGTTGAGCAATTGGCTCCATGTGTAGAGGCCCACTGTGCTGCCCAGCGAGACCCTCCTCCAGGCCTGGCTCCYGGGTAGAACCCTGATAACCCAAGCGAGGTACATTCAGCTCCTTCCAATCATCTGTCCATATGTGTATCGTGGAAACACTCATTGTCTGGCCTGTCACCTATAGGACCAATCAGCCTTGGGAAACTGTATGAGGATAAACTGTTCCTGACAGCACAGCTCCCTGGATAATTCAGGTGGACAAACTCCTCCAGTGTCCCTGAGCAAGGCACACCAGAGGCACAAAATCGAGATGCTGTCTCAAGTGGAGATGTTTTAGTAGCTCGGGGTTTTTGTTCACAGGTGAGGAAATGTGAAGCATTGTAGACAGATGGATTGGTGTGGCTTCCAGAGTATCGTGTATTCTGTTCTGGTCCTGAGTTGCCAGGTGAAGCTTTCTGTTTACCTGTGGGTCTCTGTTCCTCACCTGTAGTCACAAACTCTGAACAGTGATCAAATAAACAAGATCACAGATACAGACATTCAAAACAGGTTTTCTCTGCAGGGTAGCAGGGTTTTTTAGGGTGCATAAAGGACTATAATTTATAAACAAAGCCACACAGGTGACAGTTATTACTCCCATTGGATAGAAATGATGGAGGCAGGACAGACCCAGAAATAAAGATGGTGTTAATTAGTGGTGGACAAAGTACTCAATGCTAGTATTTGAGTAAAAGTACTGATACACATAGTCAAATCTACTCAACTAAAAGTAAAAGTTGCTCAGTCAAAAAATCTACTCAAGTTAAAGTACTGAAGTAATTACTTTTAAAAATACTTAAGTATTCAAAGGTACATGCATTTTAAATACTCAAGTATTCAAAGTAAAAGTACAAATTAAAATATCTAATATCAGTACATTGCTGTGTTGTTTTCAGAGTGATTTTACAGAACCTTGGAACTGTCAGAAATCACCTGATGTATYGACACATACAGTAGAACCACTGTGGTACAAATTTTGCACCACCTGTAAAGACTTCAGCAAAAAAAAAAAAATACAATAAAATGAGTAGTGAGTTCTTAAATGCAGAAATGTAGTTTATCCGCGGTGAACACAGAAAATGTTTAAACGTACAAACTATTTTTCAATCCTAAAATCTCAAACATGGAGCCATGTGGCCATSAAACTGGTTTCTTGGCTTTCTTCAACCATCTCCATTGCTGGGTTCTGTTTGAAATGAAGGTGGAGCTCGTGACTGTTAATGAAAATGATGTAATTTCAAATCTATCCTATGAGCTACAACTGTGATTGGTTCCCCATGAGGAACGTAGCGTGTGGCTAATTGCATTTCAAGAAAGAAAAACGGCAACAGCTGATAACAAAACTATGCTGAACCAAAAGTAACAAGTAACGAAAAGCTTCCTAGAAATGTAGCGGAGTAAAAAGTACAATATTTGTCTTTGAAATGTAGTGGAGTGAAATAAGTTTCCCAGAAAATAATTACTCACATAAAGTAAAGATACTCAAAAAATGTACTTAAGTACAGTACTCAAGTAAATGTACTCCACTACTGTCCACCACTGGAGTTAATACAACTGACTATAACAAATATCAAGAGCAGCTCAGTCAGTGGTGGTTTTGAGATGATACTTCTAATTTTGGGACAGCGTTGTCAAACGTGTGCGACAACCTAAAGGAGACAAGAGGCTCCGCGTTCCCTGACCCACAACGGCTTTTTTTTTGTGTAGCTCAGTGTTAGCATTAGCAACACTGAAGGGCTAATGTTACTTAGCAAAGGTGGCTTGTGAAGTCCAAAAAGCCATATGTTTTCTGTAGTTGGTTCAGTTCGAGGCGGGTCTGTATTCACACCAGCAGCAAACCGCACCAGAGTTCGTTTGGAAGCGGACTGAGACCACCTCAGAAATAGGTCTTGGTCTGGTTGTTTGATCCACACTAAGGTTTGCATGACTGTATCCACACCTGCACAAAAGGCCCGGACCAAGTACTGAGAAACTTTGATAAAGCCGCTGCTCCTCCACATTGAGAGGAACCAGTTGAGGTGTTTGAGGCATCTAGTAAGGATGGCCCCTAGGCCTCCTTATAGGGAGGAGTTCAAGGCATATCCAACTGGGAAACTATATTGAAGTGGGACKTACCGGTATATGTCTTTCACAATAGTTTAGAATCCTCCCAGAAAAGATCACTATGCAAAGAAATGTCTGAGCTTCTCTACAAGCTGCTGCCACCAACGACCTGACTTCATAATAAGTGGCAGACGATGGAGAGATGGATGGATGAAAAACAAAATGCACAAGAACAGAGCAACACAATAGTTTGTACTTGAAATAGTTTGACGGCAACATGACTCAGAGTCAACAAAAAAGCCTGAGGTATGCTGCTGAGTTTCACTGGCTAACCCTGACCTGAAGAAGCAACCTTTAGTTTAGATGTGTTAAAGTTCTACAAGAGGCAGACGGACAGAGTTCATTTATGCCTCAACTAAAGCTGAAAAGAATATTGTACAATTTCTCAAAATTTAGCAAACACAAATCGATGGGAAATTCAAATATGTACTGTTCAAATCTGAAATGAAAGTTGAGTCACGCACTTCTCAATCTCTGACTGACAGAACCACACACAATTAAATAGATTAGGCTTTGACTTGTTTAAACAAAATGAAGCCAGAAAAATGATCATCCACTTCAATTAAAGATGTCATGTAAGATTTATGTTTTATCCGCTGTAAAATTATTTTATTAACACACGCATTTACAATCTAACCTTTCAGTGTTTGGGTAATTTTCTGTGCAGGTGCTAACTTTGATTACTGTGTAAACAGTCACTTAACAGTTTAAGCTATTTGAAATCAGTGTGATTGCATTATTGAGATGCAGTAATTCTCAGAGAGACAGAGGAAGAGAGAGCGGCAGCACCTGTGTGCACTTCATTATCATTTGAGCAAAAAAATAAAAAAGTGCCTGAGACGTTTTATCGTTCAACTTTATGTCAGGCTCATAATAATTTCCTATGTGGGTCAGCAGAGGTCAGAAATAAAAGCATGATAAACAACAACACGTGTTAACAGGTCTGTGTGACAGGCTGCTGCTGTGTTTTTAAGGCAGGACTGAACTCTCCTCTGAAGTCCTTCAAACAACACAACACACTGCTGTGTGTCTGTGTGTGTGAGAGCTCCACCTGAATGGGGGAGCCTGAAACTAACTGCAGACTTGTGTACGGCTCTGCAACAGAAATAGCACCATGATGCCTCTAAACTGGATCATTATAGGCATCTTTTTTTCGCATCCCCAAATAAGGCACGGCAAAAACAGAACACAGCTTTTCTTGTTTTGGGGGAAAATACAGCCATTATGCGCTGCACGGTTAAAATCGATGATCTGGGTTTATAAGACACGATGTCGCCTTTCTTCTCCACAAACACGTCAAATAAATAAATAAAAACACGCGACACTGAGGCCACCACTGCGCTAAAAAAAGACTGATCTACTTCCAAATGAAACACTTCTATATGTTTTGAAGGCAGCAACAGAAAAGTCTGKAGAGCTCCGCGGCGCAAATGCTGATGTGCAAAAGGCACAATGAGTGAGTGCGCTGCGCCTCTGCGTCCTCAGAAGTAGGTGCTGTCATGCGCGCTGCTCCTGATGCTCGGTGCAGATGTAATAAGACTTAATACATTAGTCGGCCTGCTGCCGCTCTTCTTTCTTTATTCTGACTGCCTGGGCGAAATCAGAGAATTAGACAGTTTTTTTTTTTAATTCACTTGGTTGGCGCGGAGGGAGGAAAGTTGGCACGAGGAAAGCATGGCACAGATCGCCTCCATCCGGCTGTCCGCTTTATGGTCAGTTAGAAGCCTTATTCCCCCCCACATCGGCCACATATGTCCACAAGTCAGTGACAGTTTTATCGTTGGATCTCCAACACAGCAGGGAGGGGTGCGAGAGGAAAATGACACGACAGGGTCAGACTTACCCACGGCTAAATCCAGTAGATCTGCGCACAAGAGCAAGCACAATGAGAAGACGGTCATCTTTCCCTTGTTTGGCAATAAATCCCAAACTCCATCTGCGTTCACATGCTCCCCGGGTGTCGGCTGTGTAATCCCCACCATTCCAAAGGTATGCGATTGAAAGGTGCCCCCAAACTGTTCATCATGCAGCTCAAGTCTGAAGTGGGGGGAAATCGGAGAAGTTGACTATGAATGCAGCATTCAGAGCGGCGAAAATCGAGCGTCAGATAAAAAAAATCTAAAAAAGGAATAAAAAGAGGGGGGGATAAGACGAGTTCCTGAATGCGTTAAATGAACGAGCGCAGAGCTTTTCTTTCTCTGCTCTCAGATTAAACAATGGGGAACTGCGCTGAGCCGAGAAGCGATGGGCTCTGGAAAAAACAGAGCTTTGGATGAAAAACGTGTTCCACTATCTCCCCACCTCTCTCTCTCTCTCCCTCTCTCAGCCTCCCATCCTTTCCTCTCCTCCCTCCCTCCAGACAGACGCGCAGTCATTCCTGATCACTCGCTCTTTTATTTTTACACAATTTTCCTTAATCCGTCCCTGGATTCAGACCCTCTAATTCTGCCCATTAAGCCGATTTGTTTCCGTTGTTTTTTGTTGTTCCTTATAAAAAAATGAACCTTATACTATATCTGTATAGCTACAGCCCTGCTAGATGCAATAAAAAGAAGCCCAGCTGTGCAGTTGTCCAACACAAGGAAAACATTTACTGCAGATTATTTTATTGTTATATTAATATAAAACAAAAAGTATGTCATGTGAACAAAAATGTTTCTTTGGATCTAATGTTCATAAGTTAAATTATCAAATCAAGTTGTTTTCTCAGCAGGATTTACAATTTATTGTGGGACTCGTGCAAACAACTAAGGCAAAAAAAAAAGATTAAGCCTTAAACACAACTTGTTGAAAGAAAGCCATTAAAACTTATTTTACTTTCATAATTAGGCTCTGTTTAATGGGCCAAGTGAGGCTATTTAAGCTTAGTCTTCCAGTTTGAATTGGCTGCAATCATTTTTCCCCCTCTGCATCCRCCATACTGTACATGCTACAAATTAGAGGTTTTCACTAAGTTCACTGTTTATTACTTTGAATTTTTTTACATTTTTTTCTACAGTTTGTGTTGCAGCTACTAGTTWAAAAAAAGGTATAAGTTAGATAAAAATCGGTTTTCTTGAACTTTCTCCAAAACTGGAAGGAAAATAAAAGCATGACGGCCGCCACAGGTATTTGTGTGACTGCTTTCTTTCATAACCAGATGCCAAACCTTTCAATTCAAAATCACTTCCAATGTTTTTACTGATTAGAAATCAGTTGAGTTTTTATTTTTGTGAGGTTCACTGCTGCAGAAGGATTATAGTTGGGAGGTTGTTTATGAAACTGTATAAAGAACTGATGACACATCTTTTGGCTTTTAAATCAGAGAGCCATTTTGTAAATTTCACCTTCACTGAAATTGTGCCATGAATTTGTTTTAAATAAGACATCTTTCTCACCTCAAAACACTTGTCGTTATGCTTACCGGCACACACAAACTAACCCAGACCTTATTTTTCACGCCAAATGGTCATCTTCAGAATCATAAAAAAGTGCTCGAAAGATGGAGAGGTATTTTCCCAGACTCCAAGACTTGTCAAGGCTTGAGAGGTGCTTCAAGCTTTGTCATTCTAATAAGCTTGACCTTAACAAGGTCGACCCCTGCTCTGCCAGTCTATTTTACCCTGAATGATGTTTGCTTCACACAGGCCTTTTTGTGAAATGGTCATCTGAGTTTCCTGCCAAAGTTCAGCCATTATTATTTTTTCCTTCTCAATGAAAGCAGCCACCAGCATGCCAGATCCATTCTCTCAAAATATATATTCTGATGAAGAAAGTCATTGGTTTCCCATTTTCTGCAAAGCTGACTCAATATATCACGAGCATATATGTGTATTGATTTGCACAGCCCTGAACCGGCGGGACCTTTACTAATAAAGGAAGCTCAGGCAAACTGTTTTGCAGAAGATAGAGGTCTGCTGGGCCACATAGTCTCTCTTTTGAAGCCTTAACATGCAGTACAGCCATGACTCACTGAATAATGACTTGAATAAACAGTTTGTCATAAAAACAACTTGGAAAAAAAATTAGTTCAAGGTATAAACTTATTCTATTGCAGAGCATGTAAATGCAGCGCTATATATTTATTAGTGTTTATAGGGTGGAGAGGATGCTGCTGTCTTGGTTAAGGTCTGCAGTACTAATGCACTATCACAAATCTCTAGAGGGCACTGTCAACAACAATTTATTAGGGTAACAGAGCTGAACATGTTGCTGCCCATATGGCATACCAACCCCCTAACAAGGGGGRCTGGGGAGGTGTCTGCCCAGTGAAAGTCCACACTAGGTCGTTGGAAGCTCACTTTCCTTTTTTATGCCAGTGTTTCGAGTTTTTAAGGTGGCACGACGATTTTAACTGTGAGATCGCTTCTCTTCTTCCTGCTGTCCTTCATTAAAACCTCCTGTTTAAATTAGCTTGCATGTCATTATGATCACAGTTGAGCTTCTCCATCTGACGAGACCTACTGTATTTCCTCTTCAAACCTTATTTACTGAAATTAACCTAATTTAAGTCTGAAACAGATTCAGCCCTGCACGAAAAACAACAAACAAATAACAGTTTATCTGATTTTTTTTTTAACTCGGTTTTGTTTTTTTTAGTGAAAAGACATCTCTAAAAAAGGCGAACTGTAGACGTCCAGATTGGTCACTCATGGGTTTTAGCTGAATAGATCTTTTCTCCCTGTGCTTTGGCACGCACATTAGTTTGCTTACAGCTTGCACCTTGTCTAATTGCACATTTTTACGTAAAGTTCAAACAAGGTTCAGCCAACGGGATAAAACACTGAGCCATGAAATCCAAAAAAATAAAAAAAGGTGAGCACAAAGAACTGCTGGCTACTATTAACTCAGCGGGTTTGTGTTGATTCCCACGAGGAGCTGAACACGGTTTCTGCAGGGCCTGATTGAAACCTGTTTTCAGATGCTGCGCGGCTGAATTTAAAGCAGCTGAAGACGCTGCTCGTTTCGGAGGAGGAAGTGAAACGCACAATTAATCAAAATGATGTATTTGATGTGCTCACATTGGGTCTTGGATTTCATTTTACTTTTCAAAATCAGTTGTTTGAAAACTTCATAAGAAGYAATTTATTCAATACTAATGATTTAGAGTTTAAGAACAAGGTCTAAAAGTTCACACTTTTATTTTATTTTTATTTAGTCATCCACCTCTTTTGAATGATGAGTAATCTAAAAAACACAGAAAAGAACATTATGAAACACAAATAGATCAGTAAAGGTCAAACAGTTTTGTTCATCCTGAAATAAATAGTCCAGGCCTGCCTTGTAAAGTAAAACGGTGAGCAAAYTGCCATAACAGTTCAGTGTCATTGAGCTGCTACTATTTTAAGGACTTGGTAAAGGATGCACCAGATCGAAATGACCTGCAATTTTTTCAATTATTAAATTTATTCACCTTTATTTTTGTCACATCTCAACATAAGTTCTCAATAAAAACAGGAAATTTACCTTTAAATCTTTTATTACATCTAAGAGAAAACCACAACAGCCAAACAGCATCAACAAACATACACAAATAACAATAACACTTATACTAATAATACACACAATTTTGAAAAAATAATCTAAAATTTGGCACAAACTAATTATTCTGACCCATTTTAAGCTGAGTTAAACAGTTATGYTCATTTAACAATAAAGAGAATTTTCTGAAGACTTTGATTTTCAGTTTTATCTACAGCAGAGGGTTCCTTTGAACAGGACTGCTCAGAGATTAGGACTTACATTCAGGATTTACACTTGCATAAAAAATAGATAGGATTGTTTTAAATACATTTTTTCACTTTAGAATTTAGGTCAAGAGGAGGTGATTAATTTTGCCAGATTGTCAGATTACATAAGTATCAGATTAAAAATGAAYAGTGTTTTACCCATTTGCATTAGCCTAAAATGCCGTGCAGCCAGAKGAGCATTGTTTTTCTCATCATGGTGGAGGTGCACATCCTGGTAAAGCACCAGGAGAGGCCGGTTACTCTGCAAAGGAGCACAGGGAGGAGGACGTTTGAAGCCAGAATTGGCCGATGGTCAGTGGCCAGTGTTCAGTTCAAGGTCACCTGAGGCTGTGTGAAGAGTCAGCAGAGGTCAGCTGGTGGAGTCAGAGGTTGGGGAATAATGCGGCATCTAAAAGTGAACTGTTACAGAACTTTTTTTTACAGTTGCAAAAAGTTACTCTTCGACTTTTGTTGTATTTATTCGACTCTGCTGGACTTTTCGAAAACCACAAACTTAAGTAAATAAAAAAACTTATGATACTGAAGGAGAGGAACACAAAAAAAAAAAAAAAAAAAAAGCTGCAGCCTCCCACCAAAGTCTCCTCTGAAGGAAATTAAATAAAATATTTTAACACTAATAGCTAACAGCTCACAACAGGACAAATTGACTTTGAATTAGGAGAAGAATCTTTCTCAGACTGCAGTTTGTGGTCCCGGAGGCAGAGCTTTCAGTTATCGAGCTCCTCTCTTGTGGAACCAACTTCCAGTTTCTGTCTGTGAGGCTGACAGTCTGTCCACTTTGAAAGCTGGACCAAAGACTTTCCTTTTTGATAAATCCTATAGGCCTAGGTTTCCTGAGGTATTCCTCATTTCTGCTGCTATAAGTTTAGACTGTTGGAGAAGGAAAAAAATTAGTTTGCACAACTCAAATTTTCTTACAAAAAAGGGAAAAGAGTAAATGGTTGCCTGGTTCTGAAGAATCATAAAAATGGGATAATCAGCTCCAAAAAAAATACCATGTTTTTAACAGAAAACAAAACGTGTTTGAGCTACATGCCTTTGTATGTAGTCGAAACACATCTAGTGCTGGTTATCCCATTTTTATTAGACTGCTGGAGGACAAATTGACCACATTTCCTCACTTATGGCGGGATGTTCTGGTCTGAATGGACCGAAACCTTCTCGGGCAGAAGCTTTCGGTCCATTCGGACCAGAACATCCCGCCATAAGAGCAGTTTCTTCCCCTCTGCCGTCAGACTCTTGAACATTTAGAACACGTCACTCTAGAATTCTGCCTTGGCCACTTTATCACTGGTTTCTTAAACAGCACAACTCTGACTATATTGTTTTTCTGGTGACTTTTATCATTGGATCTAACTGCACTACTCCAAATATTGTCTGCTCCAAATACTGTATTGAATTCTGTATTTTACTATATCTTTCCTTTATTCTTTGTATTTTCTTCTTTTGTTATGTTTGATACCTACAGCACCTTTACACCGTAGCAAATTCCTAGTCTGTGAATCCTGTTCATTGACAATGGCAATAAAACTGATTCTGATTTGCTGCTGTCTTTAGTCACTCATCTCTACACGTTTGTTGTAATATAGTGTGTTTTCTTTGTCTCTCTCCCAGAGGAAAA